CATTTAGGTATTAGAACAAAAGTAATAAAACAAATACAAAAACAAAATTATAAAGCATAATACATATATGGCCTAGGAGACAGTGCTCCCATAGCACAGGTATTTACCTAAAAGGAACAGCACGAAGCATACCTTTCAAGAGTCTGAAAAAATGCTATCAGAATTCTACCAGCCTCCAGTACGCTTGTCTCTAAATATTTTAAACATTATGCCAAAAAAAAAGCCCACTCATAATTAATCTAAATAGAAATTCTAACATAAATCCTAATATGTTCATTTTAGGAGAGAAATTCTCAGTTACATTCAGAGTTCCTGGGGCTAATCTAAATCTATCCACTTACATAAAGGCATTTCAAGTTCTGTTTGTTTTCTATTCAGACTATTCAGACCTACCAGATGACAACTTTCTTCTAGTACTAACTTGGCTAGGATACAGTGCCCAGTTACTCCATTAAACACTAATCTAGATGTAGCTGTAAAGGTATTCTGCTGATGTAGATGAAAGTTGCTAATCAGTTTAAGTAAGGAAGATTACCCTAGATCCTAGATAATCTGTGTGGGCATAACTGAATCCTTTGGAAGATCTTAAAAACAGGGCTGAGGTTTCCCAAGGAGAGAAAACAAATTCTGCCTGTGGACTCCAGCTCTGGCTTGTGCTGCAGAAGTTCCATCCCCTGGCTCATGACCCTCCCTTGCCTGCCACTGGGATTTCAGACTTGTTTAGCCATCCCCACCACTGTGCAAGACAGTTCCTTGTAATAAATCTCTCAGATAAGCATGCATGCCTGTAATCCCGCACCTTTGGGAGGCTGATGTGAGTGGATTGCCTGAGCCCGCGGGTTCGAGACCCGCCTGGGCAACTTGGCCAGACCTCATCTCTCTACAATAAATCAAAATGAGCCGGGCGTGGTAGTGCGCGCCTGTAGTTCCAGCTACTTGGAAGGCTGAGACGGAAGGATCGCCGGAGCCTAGCAGGTCGAGGCTGTGGTGGCCAGGAGCAGCCACTGCACTCCAGTCTGGGCGACAGAGTGAGACTAACTCAAAAAAACAAACAAACAAAAAAAAGCATGCATGTTTCTGGGTATGTATATTTATACAAACACACACACACACACCCTAATCATCATTGGATTCCAAGGAGTATATACCACAATATAGGATAGGAATTTACAAGTAGCAGTCCTTTAACTGGGGGAAAATATTTTATTTTTGCATATACATGGGTGGGCTTACATAACCCTCTTTTTAAAATTGCAGTAGATCAAGAGATAAATACAATACTAAGTCATCTTCTAACAGGAACTACTATTTTCTGTAATAGCCAACATAAAAGGGGACTGTTTGTTATTTTTCTGGACCACAAAGAATAGGTCTGGGAATTCTTCATGATATAATACAAACCTTTTAATATTGAAGACCCCTAAATAAGAAGTACTATAAAATGCAAAGAATACTAAGAATTTTCGTTAGTCCAATAATTATGACAGTCTGCTTTTATTTTTGCACTTAGAAGGTTGCTGAACATTCTTAAGAAATGAATTCTACCTGCTGAATTACAGTGTGGCACTATAGTTACATCAGCTAAGGGGCTTCTTAAAGAATGTTCCAGGAAAAGAACAATCACAGAAAAGATGGACTAGAAACAAAGACTAAAACAATTACAGCTAGCAATATCAGGACTTTACCAGAATGAACACAGACTGATTTTATCCAAAAGCAAGGTCCCTAAGAGATACAGTTCCACTTGATATATGTAACCGGTTGTTCTTTAATTCTGATCCAGCAAAATTCCCAGCAAGCCCCAGCAGTAGCAAGAGCAGCATAGCAATTCACTCTAATATAAGACTGTAGCCTTACATAACACTCACTTTCCCAAGAAGTCCCAAACAAACCCCCCTGACGGTGCAGGGACAGAAACCTGGCGTGGAGGGTACAATTTGTGGGAGACTGGCTTTCTGAGAAACAGCATGGCCAAGGGGTAGAGGGAACACACATACACACACACAGACACCAAAAACCCCAATGGAACAGGACCATGATAACACAAAAAGAAAGATGAAGAAACTCAAACAATAAATTACAGAGAGACAGACACCCACACATAGGAAACAGTGGAATGGCAACACAAGAAGCAAATGGTTAGTAAGAAACACAGCAGCCACACACATGCAAACAGTACTAAATATGGGAACAAAAGATATAATATAATCTCAACTGTCTTTGACCTAGAATACACTGATTACCTCCTAGAACAAGCAGAGCTCAGTTTACAAAAATGGCATTCAAGAGTATAAGTAAAACTAAAATGTACCTTAGTTTCTAAGCAAGCTATAACACTAAATATAGCCACTTCTGCTTAAGACATTGGGTCAAGATGGGGCAAAAAAATAAATCACCTAAGAGTAAGGAACCTTCAAATAACAGTTGCCAGCAAATCCAAAAAGAACATAACTAACCTTGGCGGAACAGAAAGAAAATTGAGCTGGAATTTTAAAACCCCATTCTATTAGCTCTGGCTCAAGCACTGTATAACTTCGGGGATAACTTTTCTGGCTCTTGGTTTTCTCTTCCATAAAATGCCATGGTAGATCTCTTTCATAAATTCTAAACTTCTACTGTTTATTCAATATCTTAAACTATGTTGCTGAGTAACAAATTACAAAACTGGTAGCAAAAATTGACTTAGGAAAACGGTTTCTTTTTTTCCCCAGCAGTCAAGAAACTGTGTCAAATCCTAAAACAAAATTATAGCTCTATATGGCCAGAGGACAGAACTGTATAGTGTTTTTTCCAACTTATAAGAGTTATATTCTGTGGAAAGAGCAGATCATTTACAACTCTTTCTCAAAATGTGAGAAATATGGTGGCTAATAAAAGCTGCTATTGGGTGTGCTTTGGATATCAAATATAGACTTAGGGCTATTTCTTACTCTCCTTCAACTCACATCCATTTCCCAAAATCAGTATTGGGGCCAAAAATAAATCAAAAACGTTTTTCAAGCAAACTGCCTGGCAAGTGAGCAATAATTTCTACTGTAGATTTCTAATATAAGAACTAAGACCATAAAATGAAACTTTCTCAAGGAATTTCTTTTCTGAAATACGCTTAGTGGGAAGTCACTAATCAATAAAAAAAAATAGTATTTTTAATATCCATGCCATATTGCTGAAGACTTCAGGCCCATACAAAAACAAAGAGAGGTTATGTATTCGTGTGAGTATATAAGGGATGTGGAGGGTGTGTATGTACAAGGGGTGGGGGAGAGAGTGGGAGGGAGGGAGATTGAGTAATTTGAGATTGTATAAAATGAAGGAAGAGAGAGAAACAGAGACTGAGTAATCCGAGGCTGTATGAAATGAAGGAAGACAGAGAGAGAGAGAGAGAGATTGAGTAATCTGAGATTGCATAAAATGAAAGGAGGGAGTGGGAGGGAGGGGGAGAGGGAGAGAGAGAAAGAGCAAGAGAGAAGGGGAGAGAGAGAGAGAGAGAGAAAATATGTCGGGGGAAAGGGTGTAGTACAAAGATGAAAATGTACAAAAATGCACATAATCGAATCTTGAGGCTCTGACAGTTTTTAAAGTCTGATGTAAAGAATTTTATACATTTGTCTTATCCAGAACTGAAGAAACTAAATAGAATTAATACCAAAATAAGAGGAAAAGGCCAGGTGCAATGGCTCACACCTGTAAACCCAGCACTTTGTGAGGCAGAGGCAAAAGGATTCATTGCCTAAGCCTAGGGATTCAAGTTAGGTGTGTTGGCGCATGCCTGTAGTTCCAGCAACCGAGGAAGAAGAAATACCTGAACCTAGCAAGTCAAGGCTTCAGTGGCAGTGATTGTGCCACTCCAGCCTGGAAAACTCTGTCTCAATAAATAAATAAACAAACAGATGAAAACAAATATAATCAGTCTGTAGTTATAGTCACACTTTTAGTATGGTGGAGGAGAAGTGTGAAAGTTGGGTTTGTTGTCTTGGTTTTTTAAAAATAAAAATTCTATGCATATAGAAAATGGGAAAACAACAACTTCAGAGAAAAAATATCAAGTCTACCTGTAAACTCCCAAAACTTAAAACTTAGTGAACAAATTATGAAAGAAGTCTAATACTTCTCAGCCCTCAAGAGCATGAAAACAAATTATTCCTAAGTATCAGTCTCCAAGGAGCCACAGAGATTAGTGACTTCATTCTGTCACTGCCAGTCTTTCCAGCCATTCAGAACAATATGGCCAGTTAATAAAGTTCTACTGGAAAAGCTATCTCTAAACATTTGTGAATTTATGTTGAACACTATGATGTAAAAGAAGAGGTCAAGAAGCATATGCTTGATCTTTAGCATAAAATACTCTAAATGAAAAAAAAGTTTAAAAACCTTCTAAGCAAGTTGTCTGGCAGGATCTGTTCAAACACAGCATATTTTGAAGAACTCAAAGATCCATTAAAAAAAAAAAAATCACATCAAAGTCTCTCAAAATGTCTTCAAAATGTCCCTCCTTCTTCTAATTTTAATCTATGTACTGACGTAATAGCTCACTTTTCAATTCTGAAAAGTCTGAAAATTCATAGCCCAAAGGAGCAATAGCTCAACAAAAAAGGTCTAAACCAATGATAAAAGATTAATCCCGTATATTTAATTTGCTCATTTGCTCAATATGTAGAGAAAAAAAAACATAAAAAGAAAATATTGGTACTTGTTTGATAAGCCAGTAAAAAACTTTAATTTCTTCATTAATGAATACTTTCTCTTTTGCCAATCAATGATGTGAAAAGTCCATAGCTTCCCTTTATTCCCATTCTAGGTTGTCTTTAAGATACGGCAACAAAGGATTTATTTATATTGACTTAAAATAAAAAATATATAATAAAGTAATGTCAAGCACGCAAGAGCCTAAATTCAGAGTCAGATATATTGAAAACATATAACCCCAAAAGTTCTTAGTTATAAAACCATACTTTAACGTTTCTGAGCTCCTGAGTACCAGTCAGCTTCCCCTTCCTTACCTTTCCAACTCAGCTATCTTCTTATCTTTGTCATTCTTCTCATTTTCCACCTCCTTCAAGATTTCCAAGAGGCGATCAACTTCTGCCTGGGCCTTATTAGATTCTTCTTTATACCTGGCAATCTCTCTCTCCAGTTGTTGTATTCGGTCACTCATCTCTGGACTGGCTCTGGCTTCCAGTGTTGCTTCATGTGCCTACAAAGAAAAATGTTCCAATTCTATCAGACACGCATATAGCAGCAGTGGGAAAACCATGTCCCAAAGAACATTTATATTCCAATTTACATAGAGTATTATCATAGAGTATTATATATAGCCTTCAATATATCATGTTTTTCTCAGCTTAAGTATTATATAGATAAAATGTAAGTAATAAGTAGAGAATTATCTTAAAATTTCAAAAGGACACATTTTTAAAAATAATATCTCTCTGAATAATTGTCATTCCAAAAATCATCAGAAGCCAAGAGTTGTTTCAGAGTTTAGTGAGACATACTAACAAGCTATTGTCTCTTAAAGATAACATGAAAAGACACCACCAAGGACCCACTGCTGATTTTACAGCTAGCACAAGTGCTCAAGAACTAATTCCCCTAGACCTTCACTTCTATTTCCATCCCCTACATGCTGCTTTACCAAAATGTGTGAACCACAAGGCCCTAAAATCTAGAATCACATAGATACTACAAGTGATAAAAATGGGAGTTAGGTTAAGAAAATGGATACCACAACATGGAAATCTCTCTTATGCAAGGATTCGGGAATTTACAAGATAACATGGGACAACAAATGAATTCCAAAATCAAGAAACACAATTAGAAATGAAAAAAGAATTTTTATTCAGAATCCTTTTATAATAAGTCAACTAATACCATCAATGTATTGTGGAATATCAAGTAATTTCAATAATTAAAGACTAATTTTAAAGTCCTTTAATTTTCCTCCTGAATCTCTAAAGCCACCCACATATAACGTGTTTAATGAGAAGGCACAGGCTAAGATGTTTCATTTTTTTCTTATTCGCCAGACAAAAGAGTAGGCCAAGATGGTGCTCTTCATGTCTGTAACCTCAGCATTTTGGGAGCCTGAGAAAGGAAGATCACTTTAATCCAGGAGTTCCAGATCAGCCTGGACAACATAGTAAGACCTTGTCTCTACAAATTTTTAAAAAAATAAATAATTTAGCTGGGTGTAGTGGTGCATGCCTGCAGTCCCAGTTACTTGGAAGACTGAGGTGAGAGGATCACGTGAACCCACGACCTTGAGGTTACAGGGAGCTAAGCTGGAGTCACTGCACTCCAACTTGGGCAGAAAACAGAACATACTTAGTCACTTAAAATAGTCTGACAAAATATTAAAGGGGCAAATATATATTCTTAGGAAATATTTTTGGAAAGATCTGTTACAAAATACCTTGAATAAATGAGAAATGTAAATGTTTCATAAGAGTAGCAGCTATCAAACTGGGCTCGGTAGCTCAGCCTGTAATCCCGCGCCTTTGGGAGGCCGAGGTGAATGGATTGCCTGAGCCCGCGGGTTCGAGACCTGCCTGGGCAGGCGAGACCTCATCTTTACAATAAAATCAAAAAATCAACCGGGCGTGGTAGCGCGCACCTGTAATTCCGGCTACTCGGAAGGCTGAGGCGGAAGGATTGCCGGAGCCCAGCAAGCCGGAGCCCAGCAAGTCAAGGCTGCGGTGGCCGGGAGCGGCCACTGCACTCCAGTCTGGGAGACAGAGTGAAACTCCAACTCAAAACAAACAAACAAACAAAAAACAGTAGCAGCTATCTACGTGTGTGTGTGTGTGTGTGTGTGTGTGTGTGTGTGTGTGTTTGGAGGGGGGACGGGGTCTCACTCTGTCACTCAGGCTGGAGTACAGTAGTATGATCATAGTTCACTGCAGCCTCAAACTTCTGGACTCAAGAAATCCTCCTGCCTCAGTCTTCTGAGTAGCTGGGATTACGGTCATGTTCCACAACACTCAGATAATAATTTTTTTGTAGGTGGGGGGAAAGTGAGGCATCTTGCTGTGTGGCCCAGGCTTGCCTTGAACTCCTGGCCGCAAACGCTTCTCCCACCTCGGTCTTCCAAAGTGCTGGGATTACAGGTATGAGCTACCATACCTGGCCAGTTATGCTTCTAAACAGACTTTTACCAAATTCATTTGTTTCAAGGCTTCACACATGGTGGAAAAAATATTTTATTGGTCTTAAATACAGTACTGGGTTCTCTAACCTTTAACTTAGGTATACTTGTTAAGTATATTTTAAGAAACAAAAACTACATAAGTTTGGAAGGTAAGAAGAGATCACTGTTCTGCACTAAATGTTGCCAAATGTCTAAAATCAGTTGTTAAAGAATGTTTTGCCAGTTTTCAAGTTGTTAATAGTAGGAGGGAAATTCCTGTAGCAGTTAATCAATCACGGGCAGAAAAAGACTACTATATAGATCTCTTAAAATACTGTATGTCTAACAGAAAAGAAAGATGAAGAAAGAGAATATAATGCGTACCCAAATCAGAAGACACTTTGTAGAAAGCTGGCCACATTCATACACAAAAGGGGTGACAGGGCAAACAAAGAGGAACAGACTGAAGATGCAAACAAAAGTAGGTGTAACTGAGAAAATCCCCAGTATTCATACAGAAAAGAGGTGATAAAATAAGAAGAGGAAGAGACTTAGAGTAGGTGACACAAAAGATGACCGTGTAAACAAAACTGAAGGCCAGCTGCTAATTCAATGTCATCGAGATAACTCTGATTTCTAATAATGTACTATAAATAGACTATTTATAACTCCACAAATATAACTACTGCACATCAGCATATTGGGTCATGTTAAAAAGTTCTTACTCTTAGAACTCAGCTTAGTGAAGGCCACTTGTTAGGAGGTCCATGGTCCTGACTTAGGTTAGGCCTCTTTGATATAAGCTTCCATCACACCCTGTGATTTACTATAATTACCTGCTCGAGAATCTATTTTCTGCGGCAGAGACTATAAATTCTATGAAGTCAAAGGACAGGTCTGTCTTGTCCGCTAGGATGGTAACTGACATAGAAACTCAATTATTTGTTGGAAAAAAAAAGTGCACCAAGCAATGGGCTAGTTTTCATTTAAAACAGCCCATGGGCCAAAATGGTAGTAAAAGAAAAATGATTGAAAATAAGAAAAATTAATCAGCAATTACTATACAAGGGGAAACCCAAAAACACCTTGGAATTTATTTATTTGAAAAATTGTGTACTTATTCTTACATGTTTAAATGCCGGTTACATACAAAGTACTTGCTTCTGATACAATACACCTGTCGAGATGCTTTTTCCACTGCTCAAAACCGTTTTTTAACTCATCCATTTTGGTGCCTTTTAGTACTTTCGCCATGTTTTGTTTCGCCTCTTCCACACTGGCAAAATGTTTCCCTTTGAAGATTTTTTTTCAATCAGGGGGTTAAAAAAAGTCACCCAGGGCAGCTTGGGGAACAGGAAGGTGGAACATGGCAGTCATGCCATTTTTGGTCAAAAACTACTGGACACTCGATGCAATCTGGGCAGGTGTGCTCATAAATCACCTGTCGTAAAATGGGTGAATGCACTGAAAGAATTTCCAAAAAAATTCATTGGAGCCAGATGTAGCTTCTCACATACCAGCTGGTACGCTGATGCCGATGGACTCTCAGAACACCTACCTAGCAGGGGGAAGCATGTACTACAAGGGGTTCACCCTTCAAAAGATAATTCCAGTTTTTTGGGGTCCCCCTATATAAGTGCAAGGTTAAATATAGCCAGCCCACTAGATGATTAAGAATAATGAGTGGGCCAGGCACAGTGGCTCGAGCTTGTAATCCCAGCACTTTGGGAGGCCAAGGCGAGGAGATTGCCTGAGCCCACCGATTCGAGAACAGCCTGGACAACTTGGCAAGACCTCATCCCTACAACAAATAAAAAAAATTAGCCAGGTGTGGTAATATTCACCTGTAGTTCCAGTTACTTGGAAGGCTGAGGCGGAAGGATTGCCTGAGCCCAGTAGGTCGATGCTGGGGTGGCTGTGAACATGTCACTGCACTCCAGCCTGAGCGACAGAGTGAGGCTCCAAGTCAAAAAGTAAAAATAAAAAGAATATTGAGTGACAGTCTTTAAAGATAAGATAAATCAAGTTAGGAAAAAAATCAAAGATATTATGAACTATTCCTTACTAATTATAACAAACTCAGTATCAGCATAATATATACCTAAACTTTTGCTAAGTTAATGTAATAAAATTCTAAGAATATTAAACCACTTTCAAGACTTTTGCAGCTTTATAAAACAAAATACAAGCTCTAAAAATGAGGTAGTTTCCTTTTTTTTATTTTAAAGATGTGAGGTACAACTCGAATTAGGCAGATAAGTGGTCATCGTACAAGTAAAGTATGGGCCTCCCTTTGGTCCCCACTTTGCCTGGTTTGAGATCAGATACCATTATTGATGTTATGTGCCCACCCAAAAAAAGAGGTATTTTTAAAATCTGTGTTATAAAAACTCCTTTAAAACAGATTTCTGAATTGTGGAACATGACATTTAATTCAAGATGTAAACTTGTCTTGTTTCCACAGAGCTACTTGTCATAGTATAAGTATAAAAGATATTTCCTGAATGAAGGTTTTAATTTCATGACTTTCTTCTTCTCTCCCTTTTCTGAACCCCTAAAATTCTAACCTTCCATGAACCTGAGCTTTAATAATGTAAATATTCCATACACTTAGCTCTTACAATATGAAGTCAAGACCATTCAGAAGCACAAGATAGAAACATTTGTGAAATAACAATATTTGTATAAAATGTCACCTTTGGACAACAAAAGTTGACTTAACAAAACAATCCTCTTAAAATACTTGAGTCGCTGGGCTCAGTGGCTCAGCCTGTAATCCCGTGCTTTGGGAGGCTGAGGTGAGTGGATTGCCTGAGCCTGCAGGTTCAGGACCCGCCTGGGCAGGCGAGACCTCATCTCTACAATAAATGAAAAAATTGGCCAGGCGTGGTAGCATGTGCCTGTAGTTCCAGCTACTTGGAAGGCTGAGGCAGAAGAATAGCCAGAGCCCAGCAGGTCAAGGCTGCAGTGGCCGGAAGCGGCCACTGCACTCCAGTCTGGGCGATAGTGAGACTCCAACTCAAAACAAAACAAAACAACAACAAAAAAACTTGAGTCAAAGGTTAAACTCTCCATCCTCACGTACTATTTTACTAGAAAAATACCTACCTTTTACATTTTTAAAATCTCAATACACATACAATTGAGGTGAAGATTTTGTTTTTTTACATTTCATATGTCATACTAAAACATATATGATTACAGAACGATGCGGATAACCATATCCCCATAGAAATCAACATAACTATTTAGTGAGAAAGTAAAGGCTAAGATAGGTTTTGTTTTTCCTTACTCAATAAACAACAAAACATATTTAGTCCCTTAAAATTGTTTCAAATAAATATCAAAGGGGCAAACACGTATACTTAGAAAAGCTCTGATACAAAGTACCTTGAATATAAGAAAAATGCTTATGCAAAGTGAGCTGTAAGCTTTGTGGAAACAACAGCGGTACTATTACGATCAAGTCCTAGCTGGGCTGGGTGGCTCAACCTGTAATCCCATGCTTTGGGAGGCTAAGGTGAGTGGATTGCCTGAGCCCGCGGGTTCGAGACCTGCCTGGGCAACTTGGAGAGACTTCATCTCTACAATAAATCAAAAAATTAGCCAGGCATGGTAGTGCGCGCCTGTAGTTCCAGCTACTTGGAAGGCTGAGGCGGAAGGATCGCCGGAGCCCAGCAGGTCGAGGCTGCGGTGGCCGGGAGCGTGCCACTGCATTCAGTCTGGGTCACGGAGTGAGACTCCAACTCAAAAAAGAAAAGAAAAGAAAAAAAGATTAAGTCCTTTACCAATTTATCTGATTTCAGGTTTCATCAGTTGTGAAAATCCACAATTTTAACTAAGCCTGGCCTTTAAAGAAGATTCTATTGGCAGACACGTCTATTAATGTGTTACCAAAATTCCACTCTCAACTAGCATGGTTAAAAGTATAACACGGGGGCCAGGTGCAGTGGCTCATGCCTGTGATCCCAGCACACTGGGAAGCTAAGGCAGGAGAACTGCTTGAGCCCAGGAGTTCAAGACCAACTTGGGCAACACAGCAAGACCTTGTCCCCACAAAGAAAAAATGTTTAAAAATACGCTAGGCATAGGAGGACATGCCTATAGTCCCAGGTACTCAGAGGCTGAGGAGGGTGAATCACTTGAGTCCAGGAGCTGGAGGCTGCAGTGAGTTGTGTTCATGCCACTGCCCTTCAACCTGGGCGACACATAGTGAGACCCCGACTCAATTTAAAAAAATAAAAGCACAACACAGTAGAAACAGAGAAAGAGAAGCAGCCCTGAATGAATTAACCCACTAAGAACAAAAAAAGTAAAAGCAGCAGAAATGCAAAACTTTGCCATTGTTTGGGGGAGAATTCTAGTCTTACAGAAATTTTGCTACTTTACATTCACTCCAATATATTTCAGAAAGGAGTCATTAAAATAAAAAAAAATCTAGAGTTCCTCTCTAAGGAAGGGAAAGATGAGAATGCTAAATGTATTCACTTTTCTACAGGGAAACAAAATGTCATTCATGCAAATCACAGAAAAAACGATCAACCAGGACTTTATGGCACCACTTTGCCAGATTACTCACTGGCTTGGACAAGTGGCTATCAACATTATTTCAGGATGTCAAAGGGAGTGAGAAGGGTCAAGGAGAAAAGAAGAAAGAAACGTAGAGAAAATGGCTTAAGAGTAGGATAGCAAGAGAAAGAAAAATAAAAAGTTTAAAACTATGGTAACCAAAAAAATAAAAAAAAAAAAATCAAGAAAAAACATTTAGTGTTTTAAAAAACTCTGAAAAGGCCGGGCTTGGTGGCTCAACCTGTAATCCCAGCACTTTGGGAGGCCAAGGCGAGTGAACTGCTTAAGCCCGCGGGTTCAAGAACCGCCTGGGCAAGTTGGCGAGACCTCGTCTCTACAATAAATCAAAAATTAGCTGGGCGTGATAACGCGTGCCTGTAGTTCCAGCTACTTGGAAGGCTGAGGCGGAAGGATCGCCAGAGCCCAGCAGGTTGAGGCTGCGGTGGCCAGAAGCGGCCACTGCACTCCAGTCTGGGTGACAGAGTGAGACTCCAACTCAAAATAAATAAATAAATAAATAAATAAATAAATAAATAAATAAATAAATAAAAGCTCTGTCAAAAGTTTAGTTTCAATACTTTCCTTAATAATTCTGAGGATATTATCTCATGCTGAAGACACAATTCCAAAATTTAGGTACAGGATATAAAAATCTTAAGCCAAGAATAGGTCAAAATGACTTCAATTATCATTACCTCAAGACTAGTCATTTTCTACTCCAAACAAAACAGAGAAGAAATTGACCTTGAAAATTTCAATGATAAGCACAGCCTTTTGAATAAATATTAATATAAATTAGAACACTAATATTACACCAGTTACGGTTTTTGGAAGAGGAAAATATGTCAAATAGTACTTTATGGAAACGTTCAAATAAGCCATATTAAAAAAAAAAAAAAAAAGGTTGCTAATATAAAAGATGGAAATAACAAAAGTCTAGCCCTAAAAAAATTCTAAAAAGAATTAAAAGTACAGCAAATTTTAAAAAGTTCTGACAATATTTACCCTGCTTCTAAAATATAATAATGCTCGGGAATTAGCATTCCCTAGAATGAGAGAAAAATCTGATATAGAATGCTTAACAGTTGTTCTCAGTCTCACATTTCCCCTACCATAAATTAGAAGATATGCTCTCATTTCTTCTTTTTTATTTTTTTAGAGATAGAGTCTCTGTCTGTCACCTATACTGGTCTCGAACTCTGGCCTAAAGTGACCCTCCTACCCCAGATTCCCAAGTAGCTGGGATTTCAGACACCAGCCATTAGGCTTGGTGGAAGTCTTATTCTAATGGAAGAAAAATACTAGATAACTGAAGTTTTGGCATTGTGGTTTCATATTTCACCGATAAGGGAGTTGCATATTTTAATCTTTCTCTAAACATTTAGTTCAGTTTTCTAAGAGTTTGGGGATTCTCATGAATAAAATAAAATAGGGTAAGAATGCTAAGAGAATTAAATCAAGATATACATGGTATTTTGAACTCTGGGGGATTATTATTCCATTAGTAAATTATTCCATATAATCACCCTAGTATTATCTGTTGTGTTCTTATTTAAAGCAAAGCAAGAAAATGTAAAAAAATTTTACCTTTTTCAATTGTGATTCCATTTTCAAACACTCTTCTTTCTTCTGCTCCAAAGCAATCTCTAGAGTCTTAAGTCGTGAGTCCTTTTTCAGTCCTGAGGACGCCAAGGAAGAAGCATGCTCTTTCAGATCCAAAAGTGAAGCCTAAAAGAAGCAACAAAAACTAACTATAAACAAAATAGAGAATCAAAAATTTAAATTTACTATCATAGTGATTGAGGTTTCTTTTTCATTACCAAATACTCACATACTTCCATTTCAAGAACATCCATTAAATATAAAATAATATTTGCTTGAGCTTTTACGTCCTAAATAAAATAAGGTGGATACCAACTGAACAGTGATTTAGAGTTCTATCAACATATACTCATTCTCACAAAATAAACAGAAGTAGATCAAGCTTTGTGAATATAAGTAGTCAAACCTTAGTAGCTACATTAACTTAAACATAACACAGTTTTTGGTTTTATAAGAAAAATTCTATGAGGAACTCAAATGTCCATGAAATTTCCTAAAAATATTAGAAAGAAAATCCAGAGAAAGACCCTGAAGCTCATGCATTATTAACATCTGATCACATGGCATACGGCATTTTGGCTATTTAGGTCACATTAACAGGATTCTCCAAAAGCAAGATCAAAGTATATTAAGTCACCTAATTTAATAGCTGTTATAAATAAATTTTCCTTGTTTTGCATACTCATTTTATCTGTCACTTTCCTTACCTTTAGCACAATATTTCTCCAAATGTAACTGGGCTTCAGTTATTTTAGAATCTATAAAAATTCCATTAACAAGAAGCCAACTCAAGACATAGGGAAAAAAGTTAAGACTAAGAAAATAAATCAGCTACTCTATGTCTCTGCAAAGCTTCCTGAAATGTTCCTTAAGGTATTGTAAAAAGCCTACTATAATAATATTAAGAAAATCTTCCATTGAATACCTTTTTACATGCATTAATGCAAACATCAACAACATATGCACACAATGCTAAGACAAAACAAATAAAATGAATCCATTTTAGTGAGCTTAACCTCTTTCTCCGAGAGGTCGCCTTGCAACAGGCTGACTTTCTCTTTTAAGTCTTTAAGATCTTTTTTGTAGTTATCAATTTCCTCTTGTTTCTCTCGCTCATCTCTGTCCCGCTGCTCCTTTAAGCGTTCAATTGTCCGCTCCTGATGAGAGAACATATCAACACATGAGGAATAGCCTATGACCGTAATTGTTTTTAGGTGATAAAATTTCACACTTCTATCCTCTACTCAAAAGACAGCGGTAAGTTTAAAGAATTCACTTTTTTAAAGAATTCATCCTTCCTATTCACCTTGCTATAACAACAATATGGCTCTGTTCTTTTGAATCCCAGTGTTTCTTTTCCTAGAATCTCAACTATTATTAGATATCGCTATTTGGAATATTCCCACGTACTCAATTTCCAAGTAATGAACGCTTATATAATACACTGAGAACAACAGCTAACAAATATTTCCTCTTTGTATGTAATTCACATGTTGTCCACAAGGCAATGGAAAAAACTCACAGTTCACATGCCAAAAAAGGAAGAAAGAGAGAAAAAGACTTTGACATCTTGAGCTTTAAAGTACAAAGGAGAAGGTGGAGCATGGTGGCTTGCGCCTGAAATCCCAGCATTTGGGGAGGCCGAGGCAGGAAGATTACTTGAGTCCGGGAGTTTAAGATCAGCCTAGGCAACATAGTGAACCTCATCTCTACAAAAAATAAAAATAAAAAAATTAACTGGGCATAGTGGTATGCACTAGTAGTCCTAGTCACTCCACTGGTGAGGTAGAAAGATCACCTGAACCCAGAAGGTCAAGGCTGTGGTGAGCTGTGATTGTGCCACTACACTCTAGCCTGGATGACATGGTGTAACACTGACTCAAAAAAAAAAGGGTTAAAGAGAAAAAAGCATCACATTTTATTTCTGACAATGGACACTAAAAAAATTGGAATACTGAAGCAATTTAAGTATATTTCTGGGTGCTATTTCTAAATATATTCAGGGAGCAAGCCTTGATTCCAGCAGGCAGCCTGAAACATTCTGAATCCAAGAAACTTAAAGAACAGTAGCACCTATATTAAAAAAAGTCTAATTACTATGCTTAAGCAGATTCTCTAAAACTCCTTCTAAAATATTATCATTGGTCAGAGTTTGGGCCACTTCTTTAGTCAACCATTCCTGAAAAACTAAGTTTGTTCATAAAGGCAAAATAAAGTAGCAAGGTCAAGACTAGAAAATTGGAAAGCTCAATATATAGATAATAAAAATCCATGAATATATTAGATACCAAAATGGAATAGTGAATGAAGACTATGTCAATCATTGCCTCCTGATGGTCATGTCTGTTATTCCCAAACCTGCGAGCTCTAGTTGATCATACATCTTCTTTCTCTTCAGAAGATAGTAAATGAGGAACATATGCTGATTCTTTAGACAATTCAGTCACTGCCCTGTAGTGTGAAAGTCATCTTGCCTCGTAGCAGATGCTTAAATTGGCAACAACTAAATGGATTTTTTTTCCCCTCTACACTACGAATGTTAGCAATAGCTCAGAAGAGTTCTTTCCTCTTTGGCCCATAGGAATTTCTGCTGTATTCTGTATCCAGTTTTAGACAGATGAGAAAGAAGAAGACATGAGTCTGTGACAAATTTGAGCTAGTCACTTACTTTTTCTGCAAGGGCCTCCTCCAAAGTTGTTAAGGCAGTGTCAGTGTTGGTGGTGTCCGCCTGCAAGGATTTGACTCGTTCTTTCAAGCTGCTCATCTGCTTTTCCTTATCTCTAAGCTGTTCTTGAAGATTTTCAATCTAAATGTGCATAAACATTTAGAGAAAAAAAAGGACATTAAGAAAAATACAATAGACATGATGAAAATCATTTTAAGTAGGAAACGGATCTGTCAGGGATGTGTGTGTGTGTGTTTTCTGTAGAAATGATTTAGTTCTAAATTTCAGAACTACATGCAAAACCTTAAACCCAGAATTTTTAGCCAGAAGAGAGAAAAGGCACACACATGAGCAAGAATGAACACACACACACACAAACACACAAATCCCTAACAAAGTGAGCAAAGTACCTAGGAGAAAAGACCCAGTATAGACAGAGACGGGAGTGGCGAGAGGGCCTGCGGAGAGAAAAGCTGGGAGAAAGAGGATTCCTTCTAAAGTGACACTGTCAATGCCAAGAGGGATTCGTTCACGAAGAATTGAGGGAGGACACAGAACAGAACACCTAGACAGGGAGAAAGATGAATCAGCTGTGTAAAGGAAAAAAACAACGAAACATCTTAAATGCTAATGTTAAGTTAGATTTTTGTATAATCTTTTATCTAAATAGTAAGCATTTTCAATGGCACTTCTTACTGCAGTCATTCATTCACACACACATACACATTCATTTACTCAAAAAACATTTACTGAATCCTGCATTGTGTGCCAGGCACTAGTGATTTTTAAAAAATGAACAGGCTCATTTTTATTATATTATGAGATGGTAGGAGAATTGCCCATTATGTAACTAAAACCAAGATACAGAAAGGCTTGTATGCCACACTAAGGAGCACACATTTCTTTCTGGAGAGATGAAAACCATTAGAAATTTTTAGGCACAGAAATTATCTGGCCAGTTCTGTATTTTAGATAAATAATCCTAATGGCTGTGGAAAAACCATTTAAAGAGACTAGCATAAAGACATGGAAAACAAATAGGAGGTTGTATCAGTTCAGGTAAGGCATCATGGGAACTAAACAAGCTAAGAGATATGAAAAATAGGGAATGTGGCTGGGTGCAGTGGCTCAAGCCTGTAGTCCCAGTACTTTGAGAGGCCAAGGTGAGGGGACTGCCTGAGCCATGGAATTGAGACCACCCTGGGCAACTTGGTGAGACCTCGTCTCTACAATAAATAAAAAAATTAGCCAGGTGTGGTAGAATGCGCCTGTCATTCTGCCTACTTGGAAGGTTAGGGCAGAAGGATCGCCAGAGCCCAGCAGGTTGTCGCAGGGTTGGCCGTGAGTGTGCCACTGCACTCCAGCGTGGGCTACAGAGTAAGACTCCAGCTCAAAAATTTAAAAAATAGGGAATGCATTTGAGAAACATATGGAGGAAGCTTGTTATTACCAGGGAGATTCAAGTACACATAACAAAAAATATTAAGTAAAAATATGAGGAAATTCTAAGATATTCTTTTTTTTTTCTTTGAGTTGGAGTCTCACTCTGTCGCCCAGACTGGAGTGCAGTGGCCGCTCCCGGCCACCGCAGCCTCGACCTGCTGGGCTCCGGCGATCCTTCCACCTCAGCCTTCCGAGTAGCCGGAACTACAGGCATGCACTACCAGCTGATTTTTTGATTTATTGTAGAGATGAGGTCTTGCTGCCCAGGTGGGTCTCGAACCTGTGGGCTCAGGCAATCCACTCACCTCAGCCTCCCAAAAGCGCAGGATTACAGGCTGAGCCACCGAGCCCAGCTTAAGATATTCTTAATAAGCTAAAGAAAAATTATAAATAAGCCAACTATTCTAGAGTTCACAAGATCATTCATTCTCTATATATGAGGGGGGACCCAAAAAAACTCCAGAATTTATTTACAGAAAATTGCATGTTTTTCTTATATGTTTAACCTTCAGTGACATTCAAAGTACTCTCCGTTTGATGCAATACATCTACTGAATTGCTTCTTCCACTACTCAAAACAGTTTTTGAACTCATCAGTTTTAGTGCTTCTGCGTTTTTTGCTTCACCTCTTCCACACTGGCAAAAAAGTTTTCCTTTGAGGATCTTTTTACCGGGGAAACCAAAAAAAACGTCGCTTGGGGTGAGATCGGACAAATAGGGAGGGTGGGGCATGGGAGTCATGTCGTTTTTGGTCAAAAAACTGCTGAACAAGCCAGGCTGGGTGGCTCAGCCTGTAATCCCGCGCCTTTGGGAGGCTGAGGTGAGCGGACTGCCTGCGCCCGCGGGTTCAAGACCCACCTGGGCAACTTGGCAAGATCTCATCTCTACAATAAATCAAAATGAGCCGGGCATGGTAGCGCACGCCTGTAGTTCCAGCTACTTAGAAGGCTGAGGCGGAAGTATCGCCGGAGCCCAGCAGGTCGAGGCTGCGGTGACTGGAAGCAGCCACTGCACTCCAGTCTGGGTGACAGAGTGAGACTGCAACTCAAAAAAAAAAAAAAAAACTGCTAAACACTCAGCGAAATGTGGGCAGGTGCACTTGTAAATCACCCATCATAAAATGAGCAAATTCAATGAAAGAATTTCCAAAAACAATTCAGTGAAGCTAAATGTCCCCTCTCATAACAATGCTAGCTGGTATACTGATGCTGATGGGTTCCTAGAACACTTAACTAGTAGGGGAAGCCTGTCCTCCAAAAGATAATTCTGGTTTTTTGGGAGGGTCCTCCCTCGTACATATGTGAGTTCGATTTTTTACAATGTGTTAGGTACTTTTCTAGGTGTTAAGGATACAGAATAATCACAACAGACCAAAATTCCACCTTTGTAGAGTTTACGTTCTAGTATGGTAGACAAATGAAGAAAGAAAGGAACAAGTAAGTCAATAAGTAAATAAACAAATACATCATGTAGGACAGAGATAAATTCTATGAAGAAAAATGAAATAGGGGGATATACTCATAGTCTTCTCGTAAGTTAATACTAGGACTATCAGGTTTATTTTACATAGCTTACAAAATGCAACATAAATGTTATCTCCTTTGGGTAGACTTTCTCAATCTTACTCCCATAAGAATAACATGATCATTGTCTGTACTTCATTAATACATATACATTTATATATTAAATATACACACAGACATCTCTATTCCTCCTTCTACCTATGCATTTATCATGCCTATCTTCATTCTCCCATCTATCAATACATTATAGCACTAATCCAAAACCATATGGGGGACCCCCCAAAAAAAACAGAATTATTTTTTGGGAGGGCAGGCCCCTTGTAATACAAGTTTACCCCACTACATAAGTATTCTAAGAAACCCATTGGCATCAATGTATCAGCTAGCATTGTTGTGAGAGGCTGTGTTCAGCTTCAGTGATTTTTTCTTTTTTTTGAGATTCTTTCAACGCATTTGCCCATTTCAAGATGAGTGATTTTCAAGCTCACCTGCCAACACCTTGCTAAGTGTTCAGCACTTTTTAACCAAAATCAACATGACCCTCCCCATACCCCACCCTCTCTATTCACCTAATCTTGCCCCATGTGACTTTTTCTTGTTTCCTTGGATGAAAACAGTCCTTGAAGGGAAAAGTTTTACCAATGTGAAAGAAGTGAAACAAAAATTGACAGAAGCACAAAAAGGCATCCAAGTTGCCAAGTTCAAAAACTGTTTTGGAGCTGGCAGTGGCTCATGCGTGTCATCTCAACACTTTGCAAGACGGAGGCAAGAGGAAGCCAAACCCAGGGGCTAAAGACCACCAGCCTGGGCAACTTGGTAAGACATCTCTACAATAAATCAAAAAATTAACCAGCCGTGGTGGCACGCATCTGTAGTTCTGGCTACTTGGAAGGCTGAGGCAGAAGGATTGCCTGAGCCCAGCAGGTTGAGGCTGTGCTGGCTGTGATCATGCCACTGCACTCCAGCCTGGGCAACAGAATGAAATTCTGACCAAAAAAAAAAAAATGCTTTGAGAAGTGAAAAACCATATGTGTATTGCATCAATCTGAGAGTACTTTGAAGGTGACTGAAGTTTAAACATGTAAGAATACACAATTTTTTATAAATTCCAGGTTTTTTGAAGTCCCCCCTCATATGCAGTTATGTATTTTATACTCATCTCCACAAATAAGACAAGGATTCTCCTCCGCCCCCAGTTCTGTAACTGCATTTCTGGCACATCACCAGTCTTAGGTAAAGATTAAACAGTAAATGAATAAAATAAAAGTTTGGACTTTTATAAACAGTAGTTAAGCACTCACATGAATTCCTGCAACAACAACAAAAAAAGGAACAAGAGAACCCTGATCCAGTGTCAAGTAGTTTCTTACATTAACCAATTTAGTACATGCTCTTTAAGGGCCTCCTTAATTCACAAAGGAAGAAAAAAAGATTCCTCTATAGAACAGGTAGAACAAACAAGTTAAGCAAAGACATTTGGTAAATTTAGGTAAATCTGGTAAATTTAGACAAGGATACAATAAATATGCTAAGGCTTGAATATTCATTCTTTAACAAGGAAATAATCATACAGTTGAATCACTGAATGCCTGAAATAGGCTCCAGTCTTTTCAGTGCCAATAAGAATCCAAAGTCTATTGTGAGAGAAGAGTTAATCACAGACGAAAAGCATTAGACTTCCTTTGATTTGATCAGATACTACTACTGAAATCTCATGTGGGTCAACACTTAGACAAACTCACAACCATTAACGAGAATTTTGCCACTCAAAGATCTAGTACTCTATATACAGGCATACCTCATTTTATTGCATTTTGCTTTACGGCCCTTCCCAGATACTGTTTCTTTACAAATTGAAGGTCTGTGGCAACCTGCATCAAGCAAGTCTACAGGCACCCCTTTTCCAACAGCATGTGCTCATGTCATGTCTCTGTGTCACATTTTGGTAATTCTGCAATATATTGATCTTTGTCATTATTATTATACCTGTAATGGTGACCTGTGATCAGTGATCTTTGATGTTACTACTGTAATTGACCTGGGGCACCACAAACCATACCCACATGAGACAGAGAATGTATCGATAAAGTTTTGAGTTTAATGGATAATTTTAGTACAAGCTAAACAGTAACAGTTCCACTGACTAACTGTTTCCCTGTCTCTCTCCCTCTGCTT